AATCAGCGTAGGAGTCCGATACTTTCTTTCGCGGAATCATCATGCAATGAGCTCACATGCGATATTGCTTATTTAACAAGAAAGTCGCGACGCGACACGCGGCCTCTCGCAAATCACGAAGTCGTTGACGAATTATGAATGTGACTTATGAATATGAATAGTAATACGCGTATATATAAAAGAGGGACGCGTTAAAAAGCACTAAACACGAAGGAGTCGGAAAAAGAGTCGGAGTAACGCCTCAGGAACGGCAGGAAGAAGCGAGGTAATAGCAAAGTATGTCGTGTCTCGACCCCACCATCATCGTGGTAATCGTCGATCTACGACGAGGCGGCCGCTAGGATCCAGCTGACACTCGACAGGAAGTTGCCACTCGAAAATACCGTGGCATACATCGATGGGCCTACAAACGTTTACACACTGCGGTGGTAGATGGATGGACAGATAACTCGTTACTCGGCTCTGCCGTCTCACTCGCGTACACGTTTGCACACACGTGGAACGAATGAACGAATCGTGTAGTACCGTGGGATCTCCTCGCCGTTCTGCTTCCAGGTTCCTAATTCCCCCTTTTGAAAACGAGGGTTGAAGGAGCCTCGAGCAATTCGATCGAGGCCCTCTTAAGATCCATATAATGTTAATTAACAACAGGTGCTCGCCAGTTAATCATAATGCTCTCTACTTTTTTCGAGGCAGAATTTAAAAAATTTTTTCAATTTAAAGCAATATTTGGATCATTCAAACTCGAAATATAATAAGCAATAGTAAAATGTAACATTTTTATTTTACGAATTTTTTCAACAGAATTATTCTGAAGGTACAATATTTAAAAAAATGGCATTTGACTCTATCCTTAATTTAATATTTATTGATACATTGATTATGCATTTAGGAACATTACTGTATTTGCGTAACAAATCTTTTGCCGCTAATTGAATGGTGAAAAGGATTTTTCCCTGGCGCGAGAAAGGTAATCATACGTCAAAGTTTATTTCGATCGGGCAAATAGCAAAATCGTGACAGGAGAGGCGTGAGAGACTGACCGATTGCAGAGACGTGTTTGGAGCGCCCTGTGGCCTTAAGATACCGATACACCTCTATATATATGTATATACTCGTTTCACATTTAGCGCATTCGACACGACTGTCGAATTCTCCCGATTTAATCGACACAAAGATCCGATTAAAGAGTATACGTAATATGTCATCGTTATATTGTTTGTTGAATAGCTAACAAGTGAAAAATTTGCCTGTCGCGAGATAGACAATTCGATAGAGATTAATCGCAAGTAAGCGATAAACGATTGTCAGGGAAATGTCAAACAGAGTCGAGAATCGCGTCGCCAGCAACGGGTTGTTGGAATTTTGCTATCGGGTCCGTAATCCTATAGTCGAGTGTCCTTTTATATCTCTTGATCAGCAGCTTTCCAAGTACGTCGAGGAAGGTACCGATTTTTTTTGCATATATTTAGCTATGATATATTAGAAATATATATGTATATATTTATCATAGAATGCACATTACGTAAAGAAAATTGATACCTGATACATGAGAGATGTTTAAAAAATTTTATCACGTCTTGATGCAATTTTGCAAGCAATTAATGAATATCTTTATACAAGTGCATTTCCTTATAGATCTTATCTCGCGACAAGTCACGTTGCGATTTAATATCACATTTTACACGATTCCCAGATATAATTGAGATTTAAAATAGCGAACAGAGAGAAAGATCGTTTCGAAGATACATTTCTCGCGAATGCAGGCGCATTCGTGTAGGATGGCACAATCGCGATTCCCGACATGATAAAGCGCCGTTTTGGCTTGCCGTTCGCTCATCATCATAAAATGCGGTTGCATACTCGAGTCGAGGTCTTCTCTGCGCATAGCGCGCGCTAATAGAACACCGACGAAGTCTTCTCGCGCCGTCTTAACAACGTCCGCGGCTAGTCAATACACATAATGAATGAGGCACACGGTGCAAACAAAAATGCTGAATCGCAATCATCCAGGCTCGACGTGTAACGTGCATATATATATATATATATATATATGTATATACGAGCGCGCATTCCGCGTTACTGCATACTCGGCCATGTATGTGTACCTATTTATAGTATAGTGTAGAAATAACTGGATGTCGATACGACGCTATTAATTTCCACGACCTCACGTCCGTAGTGGCACGTCCCACGGAATCCTCGTTATTACGTTCGATTGGGTTCCTTATCTCCTTGATGCATAGACTTGGCCCGCATCCCTGCTCGACTCGCGTTTTAACTAAGTATGCGCTATCGAGCGTCGAAAACAGGTATGATGTCCCGCTATTGAAATTCGCGCTATACCGCAAAACTTCTCCACGGAATACCTTGTTTACTTACGGCAAGAGTATTTAGCATCTCGTGAGTGAAGGATTGATAATTGCAGGGATGTTAATTACACCAGTGTTAAAATTAATGATTCTGCATATAATCAAAGAACGAACATATATATAATTAAGCGATCACGAATATAATTGCTCGTATAATTAATTCAATTATAAACTCTGCGGCGAACTCTTGTTTTACGAGAGGGAAATATTCGTCGACAAGTTGCAGTCGGTCGCGGTGTCGCGAATCGCGCTCGTTCTGCGAGATTCCCTCGAGATAAATCGCGAAATGGGAATTATGCGTGGAAAACGCGCGCCGCTTATCGAGCCACGCGTGTCCAATGGGGCACCACGACTTAATCGATCGCCCTGGAATGCCGCTACTGTCGCGCACCGAAGGAGGCCGATTTATTACCCTGCGAGAGAGTGCACCATATGGATTTCAGTCCGGAGGAGACGAGAGGAAAGGGACGGGGAGGAGGGAGGAAGGTCTGGCATTCCAGACGCGCGCGCGTCGACGTCCCTTTCGCTGCACCCATGTGCATCGGATGCAGGGACTCGATGGCATGCGACTCGCGTACCGAACGAGTCATTTCTATGTGGAGCGCGTTATGCCGGTTATTTAGTTTTTTTTTCTCGACACATACGTATATATACTCGAACTCCATCTGAATCGCGTTACGAAAAAGCTTTCGCAATTCGAAACACGATCGACGCAATTATTTTCATAATAAAAACTAATGGATAAGAGATGTTAAAAAATGAACAAAATTCTGCAAGCAATTAATTGAGACTTAAAATGCGAAATTTTATTTCATGAGCTCAACCGCGTGTATAACTCGCTCCTCTTTATTTTTATAGACCGACATAATCTTGCGAAACGCGTGATTTTCCTGTTAATAAACCCAAATACTCATCTTGTAACGCGCTAAAAGTGCGCGTTCGCACGCGAAAGTCGACGACACTAACTACTGAAACTAGAAAATCACGCGCAACCGCCGTATTTACGGAGCCGCGTTCGTCGTTATCGTGACTCGGCATAGAGGGATGGAACGTGGGGAATAAAGGGGTAAGTCTGGATAAGAGCCGGTCCGACCGGAGGACCGGCTATCTCACCGCGAAGTGGACGGCAGACCAATTATGGTAGCGCGAAACCCGCGTTGTTATGCGCATACCAGGTGCATACGCATATACAGACGCATAAAGAGGCGCGTATTATGATGCCCGACCCGATCCGGCAAATAGTAGAATATGTAAAGCAAGCTTGTCTTATACGGAGTTGCATTCCCGCGCGAACCGGAAAGCCCGGAAATATATACGCATTCGTGTGCAAACTGGCTTAACGAAAACACACTTTGTAAAATCTCGTGTATCTCGTGTTATACCGCAATTCATCGCATTTCGACATGCTTAATCAGCAGTCATTTATTTAATTACGAAACATTAATATATTTTCGATTTAATATCTCTCTCTTTCTGGACTTGGCACGAAAAACGCGTTGTATCGATACATTAATATATTAATTTATTAATACATTGTTTGAGTAGATTGCGTAACTTGTGCGGACGCTGAATATACGAGGCAGATGAAAATGATAAATATCCTCTGTGCAAAACAGCCGCGTGTGCTTCGATTCGCGGCTTCGTAATTTTTCGATATTCACACCGGCAGCTTTCTCACGCGGATAAAGTCACGTAACGCGTTCTTTATCGCTCGAATAAATTTCTTTCGTTTTCGCGAAACATAATAACGAGTCGAAGCTCCTACGCCATTGCGCGCGTGCATTAGCATAAGCCCGGTATACGAGATAGCCGAGCGTAGGCGTGCATAGATACACGAGTACGTGGGGCATAAAAGGGGAGCAATAAGATTGGAAAGAAACGGCGAAGATGGAGAAAAAAAAAGAGAGACCGGGAACGCATCGCGACCAAAGGGGGCGTAAAAACAGGACGACGGGGAAATAAGGGGTGCATTGCATATACGGGTGCATGGGCTACCTGATAAGATATGTGAAGCTATTTCTGTAGAATGTACATCGACGACAGGCGCGGATTACGAGCGATAAGCGGATAAGGAGAATAACGCGTAGAGATCGGACACTTTCTACTATATCCTCGATCGTTTCTGTTTGTAAAGCGTCGGTTTTATATCAGAGTCTAGGATGCTAAGTAGATCATATCTTGGAATTTTCACGATAATTTATATATGCTTTTATTTATTTATTTTTTGCTATAATATTTGAGTATTCGAGTTTATTTTAAACGAAATAAAGGATATTTTTAAATATGCATTCACGAGTTTGATAAAGGCAAATGAGAGAAAGAGAGACGCCCGAAGTAAAGCTCGTACGTCATTTTCACGCATAAATTGTCGCAAGACATTGTAATTCAAATGTACCAGGAACCGGGGGTCACGCAATATTATCTCCTCTCTCATAAGAACTCAATCTTGTAAAATATTGGCGCTTTCACTTTCACTTTCACAAATTGCTTGATCTCTAATTAAACTTTTTGGTTACCGTTTGAATCAAACGGATTTATAGTCCTGGTGACAGGACTGTCAAGTTAAATACATACTCGGGGCAGTGTATATATATATATATAAGTGAATAAAATGAATATGGCACGTACCGAGACAGGTGATTGAATGGTCCGCGGGTGGTCGTAGAACGTTTCGCGCCCAGGCCGCCCTCAAAACCTCGAGGGCGCAGGGCGGTCCGCCAACCATCAGCACACCCGGTGACACGTGGCCCTTGTACCTTAGCTGCCGTGTCGCATCCACGAGAGCCGTGTTCCACCAGCACTTGGAATTTGCTTCCAAGAAGCTCTGTAACAATTGCGAAAATTACGTTCACCTCGATATTTACCAATTAAATTTGCGTCAAAAGTTTATCACGAGAAATTATCTTGTTTTTTGTTTTTATATTCTTAATTTTTTATTTATTTTCAAATATTTTCGAGTTTATCAATTAATAAGAAGTATGACAGAAAAATAATGTTCTTTGCGGTAACCAATAAAAAAAACTGCCACACGTAGTACCACATAAAAATCCACGAGTTATTCCCTAAAATATAGCGCGGTCACTAAGTGTTTATCTCTCCGTGGAGCCGTATGGCGTTTCACCCTCGTCGTAACTAGAAGCGAAACGCAGTTTCTATCCCCTACAGATGCTTCCTAGAACCCCTGCGTAGCGATTCGCGTCACAGAATGAGCCGTGATAGGGTCGAGAGCCCCGGACAATGCTCATAAACGTACCGCCCCATAGAATTTTCTTCTGACCCTGTCTTTCTTTTTTCTTTGTCCCGGCTAAACCATGAAATTAGTGCGAAGTGCTGGAATCGATCGGTACGGATCAGAATGTGATTTATAACAGCCCTTGTTCGGGCGATCGGTTTTTCGCAATTGCGAAAAGTGCACTGCACTTGTATACGAATAACAATTGTTTAAATGAAAGACAATTTATTACACTACCTATGTTTCATATAATTTTATACTAGTAAAATAAGTTTATCTTCAACACACTTAGCGATATATCTTAGTGATACAAATCTAACTAAATTATGTAATTCGCTGGCTCGCCGCTTAAATTTTATTCGGCCAACGTAGGATGGAATAATGTAGGATAATGCAAGACATGATTAAGATCTCACAGCGGCGTCGATTCGAGTTTTCTTTCGAACGAAAGAAACGAAAATAGGACTGAAATATCGTGTTTAATTTAATTCTAAGAAAAAAACACAATGCGTGCCGCGCGTGCATAAGGCAATTTTGCATCTAACGGTAAGATATAAGAGCGTAGGATCTCCAGACTTTCACCAGGTGGAAGTCGCCATATAGCGGACCGTGGCGATGACGGAGTTACTGCCAAATGACGGAACCTCCGCCGCAAAATTACACGTCCGTTCGTGATCGATCTGATCTGCCACGAAAACGACCAGGCCTCGTTTTGTGCCTGTGCAACGGAGCACAGCGCAAACATCCACCCTTGCCAAGGCTGCGCGCGTCCCGTATTTCGTCGTGAAAATATAGTATATATTCTCGTTACCCAGATCTCTCTCTCTTTCTCTCTATATACTTATATATTGTTGACCTTCCATGAAATAATTCCACGAAGCTTTCACGATTGCAATAACATTTCACCAATACGTGACATCATTCGATATTATGTAATCGGTGCTTGCTCCGGGATTTTCAAATTTAATTGTAAAATATTTACGTTTACCGTAACACACTCGCCGTAAATGATGTCACTTTATGTCACGAGAAACGCGCTTCGATGGCGATTACGAATCGAACGCCTTTATTCCCCGAGATACTGCATTATAATCTCACGCGCAAAGAAAACGACTTTCGTAACCGTGTCGATTACGACACGAACGCAGATTTTCGACGCTCCAACGCTCGCGGCGAGAAAGAAATCATAATGAAGGTGCAGCGCGCGCGCGTCGCGGCCGATTTATTAAATCGTTGGTGAGATGCGATTTTCAAGCGGGTGAAACTTTTTTTCGGTTACGTCAAGCCGCGCTTCTTCCTCTCGAGAGTTGGCGCGCGTCAGCTTCCACGTGGGAGCTCGCCTCTCCGGTGTCGAATCAGCCAAGCGAACACGATCGATTTCACGAGATCGCGAGACCTCCTACCGATCTCTCTCTCTCTCTTCTCGGGACACCTTCTACACAATCGAATTACTCTTTAGCTTTGTTTTTTCCGCTCGGTCGAACACGATGAACGGAGAAAAGCGCCACTTTAACGATTAAAAAAAATTCCGTCCACCTCTTTCGTAATCGGCTAAAACTTTAGGAAAACATCCCGGAACGTCGATTCACGCTCTAATTCGTAATACAGAAAACTTTTTTAGATCTATCGATTTATTACCATTTGAAATATCAAGATAGAAATTTTTATTTTATTATATATATATTTTTTCTTATATCTCTTGCTAATATAAACCTGAAACGCGCCAACAAGAAAATCGCGCGAGGACGTGTAAAAATATCGCGTTGCGTCGCGGAATGTGCCTGGGTGGGCAACAGGATATGCTGATAAAGTAGACGCTCTTATTGTCCATGGGAGGATCTAACCGTGAGAGTGCGACAGTTCTGAGTTAACTATAATTAACGCTGAACCCAGCCACCATGTCTCCTGTATCCAACCTAGCGGCACGACAGCTAACTGTGCGAAAAAGAGGGCTTTGATCGCTAAACATAAATTGGCGTTATACCGTATATTGCGATACTTTCGTTACGTCTCCGGCAATAACATTCTTTCTGTCCCCGCGCGAATATAATGCTTCATGAAATCTCATTCAATCTACAGAAAATAATGAACGTTGCGTAAGAGCGACCCGTCTCTTTTGCAAGCATTATATAAAATACTTTTGTTGAAAAAGAAAAAAAATAAGATTGTTCAAAAATGGAAACTCAGGGAGTTGCCGTAAGTTTCCTTTCATAATCGTGAACATATTGAATAAATTTCAGAACCATCCCTAGGATTTTCTTGTATATTTAATCTCGATCTCATTCCGCTCCCTAAGACTACTCAAAAGATTATAAGCTATCGATTACTCGAGGGGAACAGTGAAACGGCTGTGGGATATTGCCGAGGGTGAATATTTGCGAAGAAGAAATCGCGATAAAGAAAAGATGGCGTGGGATTCAAAATCGTCGATCGGGAATTGTGATTTCTCATTTTAATTACACATTGATAAATATTTAAAAAAAAAATGAAAAATGCTTTATGCGATAATTCCTTTTCGTCGCGCTATTTTACACCTTTCGCGACTTAAAATAACACTCGCACTTTTTCAAGAGACTGAGAGAAAGAGGAGGGAGAAAATAAATTACGGCAAGATGTAGAAGGTGCGGAACGGACCTCTATTGCTAATCGGCGATGCGGTGCTCGGCGCACGTAATATATGTATTGCGATTTCCGCGCCGGCAATGAACTTGCGGCAATACGGTCTATAGGGTGTTGTACGGTCGTTGGCTGCCCGTTAATTATTATGCAATATACTCGCCATGCGCTTTCGCACCGCGCGCTTATCCTTTTAAAGCCCTAACTCGAGACGCGCACGAACGTGAGCGGTTAACGGAGTCGAACGAAATACAACAGAAACTTATTGCCAGGCGTCATTCGCTCCGCGATATTATTGCGCCACGTTGACCTCCCTTTATCGATCCATCAAAACTTGATTACACTAGCATCGAGAATATATTGTATAACCCGTTAGTATATATTCATCCTACAGTCAGAGTATATATATATATATATATATTAGCCTTATAAGTATTTTATATATATAATAATTTTAATTGTTTTTTGGGAAAGAAGGTGAAGGATTATAAGATAAATTTTTCATTTTTTTCCTCGTGACGTTTAGCCTTCGCGAAATTGATCTATTTATCAGGCATTACTGGACGACAGGCATCAAGGCGTTTGCCCGCGTCGTCTCGAATTTTAATCAGCAACCCCCTATAGCCCCGTGTGAGTACGCTGACTGCAAGCATAAATCACGATAATATAATTTATATGCTAATATTGCGAGTGCAACGTGCGTTCTCGCACGAATAGTATACGTTGGAGATCTCTCTTTCTAACTGGATGTAGTTACATATCCAGACATCGACGCATAGGCGTCGACCCTCACGCAACTTTTTACGCATCAATAGTGAGATATTTTGCGAAGGAAAAAAATAAAAGTGTTTTATCTAACCGAATCAAAAAATATAATCTAAACTAAATCCTATATCTCGTTATTATGAAGACAAATTGATTAAGATATTAAAAATTTTTAATTTCTTTCTCGTCTTAATAAATTAACATTTCCGCGGGATTAACTCCTTATATCTTGATCGAAGAAATTCTCCGCTCCGCGTGCAAAACAAGAATTTGTAAAGAAAATAAATTATTCCGAGTCGGCAACATTCTCGCCAAGATCTTATGTTAGATATAAATAGCGCTGTGTTATTGTATATCCCTTAACTGACGCCCGTGATACCATCGGTATCTACATATCGTAAGGCGGAGAATAAGCCCCGGCATTCCATGTCATCGTTAATCTGAGACTCTCGCGCGAGAAGACGAGAGCGCCGCGACAAGAGGGAGAGTCCCCTCTTTCTCGCGCGCATATTTTTTTTGCAATTAAATCGGCAAACAAATAGACAATCACGGACGCGAACCGCTTCGAGACGAATGGGCATCCCGCGGATAAACGAGTTCTCTCTCTCGCGCGGGAGATAAAAGTCGGGACTGGCTGAGCGATATACGCCGCATGGCGCTGATTTACGAAGTCAAGGCAACGCGATGAGAACACGGTCGATTCGGTTTTCTACGTGGGACAGAAAAAAGAGACAATCAGCGAAAACTTGGAAGAACCTGAGAAAGAGAGAGACAGAGAGAGAAAAAAGTGGCAGAATCTTGGCCGAACTCTCTAACGTCGAGCTCGGCCCGATACGCACTTGACTTTATTGTTCTCTTCGTGATTCCGCGCACTAGTTACGTTCTGGGTGCCGTTGCCTGGTCCCCGTCGAGCGGCTATTACTTCGATGATATTCGCGATTTGATCGTATAATCCGAGCCCCGCCCATATATAGATTTTCTCCTCAAACTTAAATCGGTTTATCTGGACCGCGCGCGATTCGCAACTATCTAATCTGTAATATCATCTGTAATTACTCAAATTATTTTTAAATACAATTATTCTTCTTTTAAAGATTGTGACGTCAGAGAAAACACGCGCTGAAAATTCTTGCGTGCCATTTTTCAATAAAAACTATTTCGAAAACTATTTTTTCCCTTGACACAGACTTTGTCATGTGAAATAATTATATGAAGGGAAAAGGATAATTTTCAGACTATTTTAAAAGTGTACTAAAGCCATCTGAATTAATAATTTTTCATTGAAATATCTTTTTATCTAAAAATGACATACGGAAAAAAAATTATTTGACTTAACAAAATCTGCGGTCGAATACGTGCAAATAAATATCAATGTAATAAGACTAAATATTTTGTTTAATTACAATGGCAATGTTCAAAAAACTAAATATTTTGTTAAAAACAGTTCTTATTACATTGATATTTATTTGCACATATTCGACCATAGATTTTGTTAAGTGCAATGATTTTTTTTCCACGCAAGAATTTTTTGTGTATACTTTCTCGCCTCTGACGTCACAATCTAACATAGCCGCGGCGAAGATCCAGAAGCCTCAAGACAAATTATCGTAATATATAGTTACATTACGACAATTTTATTATGCGCGAGAGCTGTTACATCCTCGCGAGAGGATATTTTTACAGTCGAATCGATCCGCGAACAGACACACACACACACGCGTGATGTAAAAGAGCGAATGTAACAAAGTAATGTATAGCCGCGGAGTAGCTCGAACGTAGGTTTTTGCATGGCGGAAATCGCCACGCGGATGGAAAGTGTCCGCCGGATCGTTGGCTGCGTCGACCATCCCCGGGGGCGATGCGCGAGATCGGTGCATCGTAATAACAGTGATTTAAAAACGCGTCACAACGAGCAGCGAAACACACACTCCGCGCCCGAGAGAGGAAGCGTAAAGTGCCTTTTCTCGAATGCAGATCTCGCGTGCGCGCGCCTCGTCCTGTGTCTGAAAAGGCCTCGATAAATCTCGCAAACATAAACTTTGCGGATCGAACAAGCCGCGTCGAAGCACAATGCCCTATTATTTAGTAACCTGAGATTTGCTACACAGTAATAGATCCCCGTACACTGTCGCTCCTTCGTCATTGTCGCTTTTCTACCGTAAGAGAAGACGAAAATAATATACGTATCGACAATCCCTATCGCAATCTTATATTAATTCGCGCACGCTAAGAAAAATTTGTAATGCCGCCTGCTTGTTTTGTCAATTGTTGTATTATCGGCCATTTTTGTTCGATAAAAGGCTGATGCAGAATTTCATTCGATCAGTCATTCCGATAAGCTGCATCGAATATAAAGCTCGGACTACAACATTCTAAACAACGTGTATCGCGATATCGATGCGATCTGCGCACGGGGATGCTTTTACGAGAGGATCGCTCCGTTGAAAAGCGATCGTATCTCCACGTCGATCGATTATTATCCGCCGACATCGATAAAGCGGTCACTATATGGCGCGAAACCATGCGGAACCACAATAGCGATAGTATGGAACACACACACACACACATGCTACGATTTCTGCACTAACGTCTAATTGACTTAACAATTATAGAATGTCTAATTCACTCCGCGACCTCGAGAGATTCTATCTCCTCTCGTACGAACGTTCAATGGTTTCCTGCTTTCGTACATACCATATACACGGCGCGAATTTTCTCTTAGAATTCACCCTAAAAATCATGATAATTATCACAATAAAAAATATTAATATGTACATGGTAAATTTTATTATGTTACATAGTGAAATTAATCGAGCATATTTTTCATATCTTATTAAGTGGTAGATATTAATATTTCTATTGTAACAAATTGAAGAGAAAAGTCTCCTTGTGTGTGTATGTACGGTGTCTTCCAATTCTCTTCCTCGTACATTACTTCATTTATAGTTTATTCTCCAAAAGAGATTTATATCTTCGACAAAAATATTGACTCAAAAATAACTCATATTCTTCGTTCTTTTTAATTGAAAAATTCTTTTAAGCATTTTAAATTCGCTAAGGTGTAAGAGGCTGCAAGAATATTGGCACGAATAATGAAACATATTTTTGTCCTCGACATTTTCGGATGCCTGAGGAATGGGTCATCGCTTAAGAACCCAAAAGAATGCATATGCTTGCATATTCAACGATTCAGCATCCTCGCTTTATCATCGTCGCCGTCATCGTTCCTTATTAATTTTGGAAGCGAGAGGCTCGCTCGTTGAGTTTTCCGCAAGGGTGCTTCTCCGCCGAGTACGTACTCGTTAAAAAGTGAGAGCACTTTGTTATTGCGAACAGTCACGTTCTAATTTTATTTCTTCACTACTAATCTTTGTTTCTCTCTCGCGCGATCATATCTAAAAACTTTATGAAAGAATTAATATTTCGAAAATATTTCATCTTCTATACACATTTACAATTTATTATTTTTATTTTAAAAATTAATTTTTATATACATTGAATGCAAATTCTTAAGGATAAAAAGAATTAATTAATGTTGTATATTGTATATAAATATAAGTATAGAGGAATTGAAAAAGAATTTTGTCGCGCCTAATATCTGACTCTTTATATTTGAATTCGTATTTATATATCAGGACCTTTTCAATTTATGATTAAATTTTCTGTTCTAATCCTACAACAATGCATAATAATACCTATATCTATACGCCTGACCCGTAACTGCAGACTATATATCGGTAGAAGGATTAATACAATTTTCCAAGCCAGACAATAGACCGCTGTTGAATATTCAGCGGTTACACGTTACGCATTGGTGGCTATAAATTCGAGACGAGCTGGATTACGACGCGCGCGGCGCCGCCGCCGTCGTTCGCTTCATCCGCACGGGAAAGAATTTTCTGGACGTAAAGCGAAAAATTTATTACCGTGGAGGAGAGTCCGCGGGATAAAACACGTCGGCCGGCCGCGAGAACGAGCTTCCGCCGCCGTTTAACCTACCGCTCCTCGATTATGCTTACTTTTGCGAAATTGCTCGTAATTCACATTGTCTCATTGTGGCGTAACGGTGCGGGCAATCAACGTCCGCTTTACGGTAAAGGACCCGGTGCGCCGACACCAGGGGAAGGAACAAAGCCGAAGACACGAAGTCTCTTGACGGAGAATCTCAACGTCGGCGGACGACGTCCCGTGTTTTCTTTTTCCGACGTTCGCTTCCGCAAAACTTTTCCGGCGCCAGAGTGATTTCTCGGAGCGAAGAAAAAAGCACGGAAATGTCACATGCGCGTATAGATATATCGCGTTTATCGACGAAAGTTGAGGGAAACTCATCTTAAACTCGCGTGGTGACACGATAAAAGGATATCGACAGTATAAACTGAGAGGTATAAAATAAAACGAAGGATAAAATGAAAGATGACGTGACTCACTTGAAATAGATTGTAACCCTTATCGTACATCCACATCTCGTCGGCTGGATGTTCCTTCGGACTCTGACTGACGTTGATTCCGTTTGCGCCATGAGGGGGTGGTCCTCTGGTCAACTGAATCGCCAGGGACCTTTGCAGAAGCAAGAGGCATCGGGAGGACCCGGGGCCTCCCGGACCCGTGCCATCTCCTAAAATCGAGGCCATTACGAAGGCCCACCACTAACGACGTGGGTGATACGGGGGTGGCATTGCGAAATCTGTAACAGAAAAAAATACATTGAGCAATTTTACTTGGAATTATACGTAAATTCTGTCAAATCATAAATTAATAATTAATATAATATAATAAATCAAAGAAAGCAAGAAAGAATTAAATGAATTGCTTATGAAGAAATATTAAAAACGAACGACATTAGCAGAAAGATTTGTTCCGTAAAATTAAAGTGCAAAGACATGGACCATATGATGATTTTACATATTGCATAACCGAAAACTGTAGATACGCTCGATAGCAGAGAACTGCGAATGACCTGCAATTTTACGCAACGGAGACCTCCATCTCTCCTGTGCTGTGCCATCTTACGTCCAATTATTCTTATCGCTGTACCATGGAGAGAGATAAAGCGGAGGCGAGTTCATCGTACTATTATACGAGTTCACGAAAGTTGCAGACGACGTGAGAGACTTTGCACGAAACCATCTTTCTCTCTCTCTCTCTCTCTCTCACTCATTCCGTCTCCTTTTATCTCTTTCTATACACACGTACGTCCGTGACGCATACAGCATACAGCTACTTTATTGAGCATGCGTTGCAGGAAACCTCGCAGGATCTAAGATCAGAGGTTCTCGATTCATTGCAGATTTTTATTCGATTAGCGCAGCTTGTTCAAACGTCTATTTTATGTATATATTATATCAAAAGTTTATACTAATATTATAGAAATTTTGTCTAGTTCAACAAATCGATTGTCTTCATTTAATATACACGATATACAATATTTTATTTTGTGGAAAAAATATTTGTCAAAAAAAATTTTTTTTGCACTTAGAGGTATGTAAAGATAGTTGAGAAATCCTGCAACAATCCTGCTCGTTCTTCATCTTCTAAAAGCTAGAAGATAACATCACGTATTTCTATATATTGTATCAACGCCTCCCACCTCTAATTAATTTAGCCGGCCAGGCAGAAGGGTGGGACGCCCTTACTCGCCAAAATCCACGTAGCATTATAGCTCGTGAGAGACGACTCGAGTAATAAGAAAAGGGATGGTCGTCATCGTGCATTATTGTGACTCTTTCTCTGGAGCCGAGCCAGAGGCACAAGATTGCTTCATCAATTCGGCCGTTCGTACATGAGAATTCAATCTGGCTCTAATTGCTTAGAGTAGCCAAATGTATCATAACATATCCGTAAAAAAAGAGGAATTACTTTTTTTTCAAATCAAAACTATGTACAGTATAAAATTAAATGTAAATTATTTTTTGTTTTCGAATTGTACCTTATTAAAATTTTATTTCGAAGTAATGAAAATATTTTCGCATGTGTTGTGATATAAAATCAGATTTAATCAGATACATTATTATTGCGAAGTTTAGTTCATGGACTATTATCTTACGTCCCACTGACTTAGTTTACGATGGGGATGGACATTGTTTTATTACAAAACTGTACATAGTTAATAATAGTTAAAGTTTACTTCCCGACATCAATAGATATTTGATAACGCAGATAAGATATACTATGTGATGCGTAACAAGTGTACGGGATACGCTGATGTACCGCAATTGTGGCATTATTTTTTAATCGAAAGATAATTGGATAGTTAGTAGTATACACTCTCAGTTTATGTGTAATAGGCGACATTGAATAATTCCTTGTGAAATAGCGACCTCTCTCACGCGATCGCGTCGCGCTGATGATATCCCGCGGGTATATATCGAGAAAAAGATTCATGCAGATAAAGATAGATGAGAGAGAGAGAGAGAGGTGGAGAGGGAAAAGAGAAAAGAATAAGATTTAATAGGATCTAATCTTTCCTGTGTTCGCGTTGTCTATCGTGCCATCCGCTCTTTGAACGCGACTGTCTAGCGCACTTTTATCCGGTAGTATCTCCGGAGTATCTCATTCTCACCGATACAATGGGGCAATTTTCTCATCGCGTACTTGGCAAATAGTTTATTCTGCTTGTCTGGAGAAGGAACCAGCTCCGATGCAAAAAGAAATTATTCCAAAACGGCGGAGTTCGAGAAAGAGGAAAGAGAGGAAGGATCAATCTCTCTTGCCATTATAAGCCTTCTTCCTCCCTGTCGGGATCGAAGCTCGATTTCACCTTGTACCAGTTCGCCAGTTCGAAGCGGAAGGTGTTCGACCGTGTGTCGCGGAAAAAGGACTTCCTGCCGCGTGATTCATTCGCCGCGCGCACGACTCTCATTAATGTCCCACTGCAATTGTGCGGCTGCGTCGCGCCGATGCACGCCGGTGCATCCCTGAACCTGAACATCTGAGCGGCCGCAGTCGTCGATCGAATTGCGCGTGGGACACGCGATGACAAGTAATTAACGCTCATATCTCGCCGTTAATTTGCCTTTCCGCGCTTTTCCGCGCCGCTGCAAGCCAGAGGGTTTCTCTTTCATTTGGATCCCTTCTCCTCTGTTATAATTGTAATTATAGAGTGTCTAGCGGTCAGGGAAATCTAGAAAATCGGGCATTGTGAGGGAATTTGATAAATCTGGAATTGTCAGGGAAAAGTCAGGAAATTTCACTATTTATCTGGACTTTTTCACATTATTCTATTGTACATTTGTCTCAATAATTTGCAATTTTTTATTAAATAAATATAACTTTTTCTTGACTCCCATGCAGATTGTATAATTGATTTAAATTTTTGTTTTTTTTAACTTCCGAACCTTTTCATTGTTGGCAAAAATATCTCAAGGATTTTATGATTTAACATTTAATTGATTTATCATATAGATATATACAAATTATATATTTGGAAAAAAATACTAAAAAGCCAGGGAAAAAATGAATTTCTGGTCTTCTGAAAAATCTGAAAAAGTCAGGGAATTTTTTTCATTGAGTCTGCTGGACACCCTGAATTATAGAATAATCACGTGGCCGAACACGACGCTTCGTGAAATAGAAGAAGGATATATATGTACGCGTTATTCTTCACGTGATCGATCGCGATCCGATCGCTCGTATAGAAACGAGGTAATTTCTCCCGCGCAACAGAATAACACATTTACAGAAACATATAAATCATCATGTAGTGAAACGGTGGATACCATATAACTTAATTACGCGTCTCATAAGTTACAAGATTATACGAGATAACCACCTACGTTAAATACGGGTGATAATATATATATTCCGATCTCGTCCCATTCTAACGTCACCTTTCGAATCTGAAATGTTCATATCTATATTTAGAATCCTCTATATCGAATACTGTCTCGCGTTTCTTTCTTAAAACGCTTTATATATCGAAACAATAAATTGCTTTCGCGCGGCTTTATTACAATCTTGCTCTTTCTGAAATAGCCGCGTCATTAATTTCCTGTTAGACAACCTGTCCGACAATTTGTCGAAGCGCAAAATATCGTCGATACGAAATCTTTCTCTCTCTCTTTCCAACATTTTTTGTTTCCTTCTTTTCCCCTGCACAGTACACCACTTGGAAGAAATATCCGCTAGACCGTAGGGGGTTGTTAAGAAAACAAACTTTCATATACGATGAGCAAATTCATCCTTCGCGCAGGCATTGTACGATCCTTTGATGTATCGTCGATCTTCTCGACGACGAAGACCAACCGCACGTATCCCGGACTCGAGTGTGTCTAGAAAGTACTTCTCGGGCGGACCATTCTCGTAAAACGTGTAACGGGAACGATCAAACAACGTCTCGGCCTAATGGAAGTCCAAATAAAGACAAATCTTCGTCCGTACCGCCGTTGATCTTGCTCGCGATGGCCATTGAGACCTCAACGAGCGTTATCAATGACTACATCGCGACTTACCGCGAGTCGCCAGAGTGATGATAAATTTTTACATCGATGATGAGAATGTAAATAGAAAGTTTCGATCGGACGTCATTCTCGTTTGACGTTGTTACAGGCTTGTCATTTATAATGTCCGAGTTTTTTTTTTAAATTACGATGACTAAAAAGATGATGTACGAATATTATGATAAATCCCTGGGAATAATTATTACACGGGGAGAGGGAGGAACGTGAGAGCGAATTATCGTCCTCTCTTCCTCACAAAAGACAGGTTTAAAAATATCTAGTGAAAAGATAGAAATTCGCTTCAAGCCATATGACGATCCGGCGCGTTTCGATGATTCTGGGAGAAAAAAAATTGCGTGACTCTCGCTTTGCGCGACCGACATAGCTCGCAACGTAATAGGATATATCAAGAAACTCGAGAAATGCGAAATTACCACACACGCCAAGTTTCCATTTAAGAATCACATAATTGTATCCTCCGGATTCCGAGCTTAATTAGCGTTACGCAGGGGAGTCCTATCGAGCGACTTGCCGCATTATCATTAAATGCGCCGAATCATTTCATACCGAGCGATCACTGCTCCGTTTATTGGAAATATGCCTGTTTTGTAACGTGACTTGAGTCGTTCACGATGTAAAAGCTAAAGGATATAAGTGAAATAAAAAGTAATGTTAATATATATATATATAATTATATGTTATTGCAAAATTTACTGCCAATGAGTCGGTCGAATATATCTAATCTTTCGAAACAAGACTCTCTATGTGAGGAAAAACGACTATCTTCCTTATGGCATGTATTATATGCTGAGGAGGTCAAGAGGATATTCTAATGTATCAGCGATGTATCCCGAAGACCCGGTTCTCACGCCTCCACCTCCGGAACATCGCGGTGATGTGAAAAAAAGCGGAGGATACAAGCGGATGACGCTTGTAGCGCATCGTGAAAAATCGTGCGTAGAAAACGATCGAGGCACACTCTGTCGTCTCACTTACTCGTTTGAAAAATAGAATAGAACTCTCGCGTACGTTTCATATCGCCGGGTGAAAAGTCCCACCGAGAAGCTACTCACGATCAGTATTTGCTGTTATCTAAATAAAATTATACAGATGATCATCTAGCTGAAACTTTGGTGTTCATCTTATCTTTATATATATATATAGATAATAAAAATATGTATTATCTATACCTGCATCTTAGATGAAAAAAGTATTATCTTTACTAAATTATCTAGAACAATTCTCAGAT